TCCACAGGAATCACGCCCTTTACTTACCAAAGGATTCTAAGTAAAAACATAAAACGATTCATGAACAAATACAGCGTTAAAAAACTATGCAGAACCTAAGGAGTTCTTATGTATAAAAAAGGCATCCTACCAGAACAGGATACCTCAAGAGTAGTGTATTGCCCCAACCGCGTTTAATTACCTGACCTTGTATGTTACTTGTTTTTTCCCGTGCGCTATATCTTAAAATAAACTGGCCTTTGCACAACCTGACAAATCTGCACCCCTTTTGTCTCTGAACTCAAGCCACGAACTTCGGTTCCAATAAGGTCAGTCATACAAGGAAAAATTAAGCTGGAATGTTGGTGCTCCTTCACTTTCATGAATTTCGGCCATTTTGGCGCCCTTGTTGGTACTGTGTTGATTTTCGTTTCTGAGGTATCGCTTTAAAGGGAATAAAAAATAGTGATCCCAACCGAGGTTTGAACCCGAGACCTATCAGTTCGATGTTCGACGAGTTCGACGTCCTACCAAATGAGTAACCGCGGTTTGAAGCAGTGCATGGTAAATTGCATATTCAAGGGAATTCAAAATAAGACAAAGATTCTCCTCGAGTGGAATCGAACTTGGCACCTCCGGAGCTCCAAGCCACGCCATGAGGCCTCATGTAAATAAGGGACTAATAAATCAAACTTGGCATTTACTGCCGGTGCTTTATCACCATGAAGTATAGGATCGTTCAGGATTTAGGAAACTAATTTAAAACTAACATCTCGTTCCGGTTAAAACTGCTTCAAAATGCGCACCCCCTATTTTGAACGTGGAAACTATTATTCAATTTGCACACTGTATCATGTATGCTTGTGTGTTCTAATCTTAGTGCCTAAATATAAGACCTTGTTCCATATTTCAGCAATAAAACACTCGTTCACTCACACGCATAATATAGCTATGCAGAGTAAAAATTTAGAAGTTTGTTTAAAATATCAGCAACGTTTCTAATCAAATGATCATTATCGTTTGTGCAGTATTTCGTTTAGATAGTTGGTCGTCACAGCGAAAAACAGCATAAAATACGAGCGTTCTTCAAGGTAGGAGGTTAGTAATTTCAGATTTTCTTGTCCCCAGCGTTTGGCGGTTTGCAATCAAAAAGAAGCGTTTGGTGGATGCTGGCGGTTAAATAGTTTCTGGACGACAAGGATGCTGGTTTGAATGAATCCTGTCGCCCCTGCCTTCTTGCTCCATATGCACCAGCGGCTGCAAACAACCTCTTTACCTTGAAGAAAGCCTCTGAGACATGCTCCGAAACGGCGGTACTATGGTCGATCATTCTGTAAACAATGCTTTGCACTGTGTATTAAAAAATCGTGTCTTGTACTGATTTTACGATTATCGTTTATTTAATAGTGAACTTAAATCATACACATGCACCTTATTCTAAAAAGTGAAAGCAAATTTGGCAAAACTGCTGGTAACTTTTCAAATGCACTGAAATTAATTAAAGTGTATAAATATCATACCTTTTCATCGTTTTCTTAAAATAGTACTTAATAATTCATCAACCTTCCTATTTTCGGAATGTATGGTTAGGAAATCCAAAAGTAAAACAGATGGAAAAGTTTTACTAACACTCGATGTTATTGGCTATCACCACTGGTACAATAAGGAAAACAGAATAAATGAATAACTAAAGTCTATGCTTTAGCACAGTAAAGTATTAGCATAATTCTGAGTGACAGTTGTGTGTAACTCAGTGATGAAATCACATTTTTCGTAGCAGATTTGATTTTGACTTATATGAAAGTAAGGAAGAGGAATTTCATTGCACATTTCGTGTAATCGTGCAAATATATGAAATGACTCATTAATAGCCCTAATGTGGTGTTGTTCCCGTCAGGTACCCAAACACTAGTTTTGCTGACGTCAGATCTGACGTCACCAATGGCACGGGATGCAACGTCCGGATATTCAGCATTACAGTTGCTAATTGTAGATAGATATTAAGCCGTCTGTAGGTCTTACTCATATAAGTTACCAGAATCACCGTACACCATTTTACAGATTGCTTTAACGACTTCTACTGGGATGCGTGATAGAGCTAATTTTATTTTTGTAGTAGATCCTTAGCCCCATTCATATTAAGTATTTTTTGACTTGTTTTCAAACTTGGGAGCAAAACGGAGTAACAATGACGGACCTGTTTTCTAGTGGTTTGTTTAAGCTTAACCTGAAATGCAGAAGTCCACTGTATAACGTTAATGTGGATGAGTACGAGTTAGGAAGAAACGCTTGCAAAGATGATTAATTTCTTATTCAGGCTTTTCAGTATTGAGGGCTGCCGCTGCACAATTTTTTTAAATAATGCAGGTGGAGCGCAGAATCTGGGTGAAATTACGTTTTACAGTGAATAGGTTTTCAGAAGCCTGCAAACTGAAACTTTCAATGGTTCTAACGATGCCAGCTTTTTCTTAATTTAAAGTAAACCTCATTTAAGCCATCAAGTTACTCCGCTCACCAGTGAACTGTCAGTTCATTGAGGCTAGATAAAATGTGGCTAATGTTTACGCATTTACGCTATGTATTCACGCAACCAATCACCCTAATTTTTGATAGTCAATATTCAGCATGTTACTTATCGTTATGAATATATATTGACAGGGTCCTTAGTTACCTGATCTGCCTCGGCCATTATCACCACACCCCAGGTGGTTCCAATATACAGCTGTGATCCGTCTTCTTTCTCGAAAAGATGCATTGAGCTCACCTGACATCTACCAGCTGAAAGAACAACGTTAAGCAAGTGTTCATAAAGCATCGAGACGTTTCACTCACGACTCAATTTTTCATCGATATTGATCGTGGTTATGCTTTCAGAGCAGGGAACAATTTTTGAGCAGTCCAGTTTGGCGACGATCGTCTTGCGCACAGCATCCCACTGATAAACAACACAACCTGAAACA